ATAGATAGACGGATGGATAGATGGACGGACGTAACATACTCGGATAATTTAACAGCACTTTGGTTTGATTTGATTAGTCTGTGTCTGATGAGGGGTCATCGAATCACCAAAACACGAGGGTCAAAGCCTTTGAGACAGAAATTAAGAGCTGCAGATGTTTTTTTCTGCACTTTTAGTTTAGTATTGTTTCTGCAGATTTCCTGTGTTCATGATGGCGTTATAACTGCAAATCCAGGTTGTGTTATTTAGATGACTTTAAAAAATGAAGTGCAGGTAAATATTGTAATCAAGCAAGCTCAGATAAGTTAATAAGAAAGAGGAAACAGGTGAAGAGGGTTCTCAATTTCTTGACTTATGTCTTCATGTTGCTCTGTTCTTGTGTCTTTGAGATTGTTATTAAAGTCAGTTTACTGTGCAGCCTTATTTCACAGTGGTATCGTCTTTGACATTAGCTCTACTACATCATTCAGCTCATTTGAACAACTCCAAAATAAACATTAGTGTGGATGTAAGTGTGTGATATATTTACATTATTTTTTGGAACTTTCATTTGTCTCAGTTCGTCATTGTAGGTTGCAGTTGGGAGTCAACTGGCACATTTAGCACCTATTTTTCCCCCTCAATCCTGTATCTGTTTTTGTGTGTTTTACTTTTAATCATCATGTCCCATCAAACTCATTAACAGTGTCTTCTCTTAGAGTCCCTGAGCTCCATCATACTGTAGGTTCCACTGGATTGCTGCTGCAGACGTCCTGCTGCTGTGGACCTGCCTGATTTCTAGCTGATTACCAACCCCAATACCGTAGTAGATGACAACAGTTAAATGCGGGTCTGTTTTGGCTCAAGGTTACTGTCTGTTGAAAGGAAGTTTTTCCTCTCCTCTGTAACCAGGTAAGTGTTACATTCATGTGGAAAGAGATGGGATTAGAGTAGGGTTGTCAATGAATATTCTAAATTCGAATACATATTTGAATATATATATAAAAAAAACGAGATTCAAATATGAAAATAATTATCCGAATATTAAATAAACAGCAGGAAATAAAACTGAGTGAGAAAAATGAAAAAAAAAAAAAAAAAAAAAAACAGCGGCTGCTTTGCGAGTGAGCGCACCATAACAACGGGTCAGGGACAGGTCACAGGAGCTGAACCTGTAGTGAGACTCGAGAAAAACTGTCCGTGGCACATGCAGAGAGAGATGCTGGGATGTTCGGAGCCAAACTCGGAGAGAGTAGTCAGGACTCCAAAGAAGTTATGTGCAAGCTGTATAATCTAGATATTCAAATATGTTTGAACCTATGTGTTATTTTTAGAACAAATATTCAAATGTCATTTTGTAGCAATTTTGACAGCCCTAGAACAGAGTAGGTCTGATCTTATAAGATGTGACTCAATATTATCCCTTCCTTATGTTGGGTCTACCTGTAAATGCAATGAATTGTTTGGTCTGGATCAGCTCTTTTTGTTAAGTGTCTTGAGATAACATTCATGTATTCATTCATTGTCAGGGGACAGAAAGACTATAAAAGGCTGCTTATTTTGTGCTTCTCTTTGTCATAAATGTGTCCTCTTGTGTCCACAGTAATGTAATCATCTCTGTCAGAGTCACTCAGTTTGTATTTTAGTTGTATTTTTGTCTCTTTGGAGCCTTTGGACCAAAACAGTTGATTGGAGCCCTGCAGGCAAAGGAGCATGTTTGAGTCACATCTGAGAACAGTGCAAAAATGAATAGACTCTGTGATGGCAAAGTAAAAAACCCAGAAATTTTCTAAACATAGCATAGTCCTACTCTCACGTAGTGTTTTAGTCAGTTATTTTTATTTATTTATTTTAATGTTTTTGGAAATATGTGCCACTCTTAGACAGGACAGTTAAAGATAGACTGCAAATGTGAGGAGGGGGAGACATGCAGCAAAAGGTTGTGACTGATCATTGCAACAAGGACTATGTCTTCTATATGCTTTGACCTCTTAGCCACCAGAGCATTTGTTGTAGTTTATTAAAATGGTCTATATGTGGTTGTAGAGCCTCCCCCGTCTGCAGTGGTTGATATTCTAGTTTTGTTTTGTTTTTTTTTCTGGTTCTGCTGCTGGTTTCTCAACAAAGTGATCAGGCTGGCCAGGATCATCTGGAGGTAATACGTTAAATATCGATAAATACCTCTAACAACCACACCCAAACATAAAGCTCTGCCCCTAATAATTCCATTTTGTCTTGATATGAATGGATAAATTGGGATTTTGAGGTCTATTGGCATGATGGTCATGTTAAAAATGGTGACTCAAACTTACTTATTATCCACCTTACAAAAGGCAAAGAGGTAGAATTTGGATGGACCAATGTGTCTGCCTGTCAGACAAGTCTGCCACACCCCCTAATTGTGCCAATCCCATTACCTTCATATCATTGAAACAAGTGAGTTTTTATAATTGTTACTCCTTGTAATGTGAATACAGACCTTTTCTGAACCAAACTGTAAACATCTTCATTTCTGCTGTGAGGATGTGCTTGTTTTTGAATAGGTGTGTATGTGGCTTCAGGAGCTTTGAAGTCAGCTTCAAGTGGGCGCTAAGAGAGCTGCAGTTTTTTGCATTTTCACATCAGCTTCATCTCTCAAAATAGGAGGTTGCAGCTTGGTAAAACCAAAGGCTGCAAGGTACAACCAATTTTATTGCAGCCAACAAACAGAGGGAATAAGAAACATTTTTATATTTCTGCTATAAATCTGAGAAATCAAACTGGATTCTGCATTTGTTGTATATGAACATCCACTCTGAGAGGGTCCCACCAGCATCTCTGAGACCAAACCTCTCTATATGACCAGGTGGGAGGTCTCTGAATGAAAGATCGAAAAAGTTATCTATGCATTATCCTCTATGGATGGGATTACAGAGTCTGTTCCAAGTCTCCTGGGGTAAACTAGTCTCCCGTTCTGTGCCCTTGAGTCCTTTCCCTCCCTCCCCCTCCTCTATACATCCCTCTTTCCCCTCTACAGGTCATTAGGATGCAGATATCAATATTTCACTCCCCTGGCTTTTATTTCTACATGGAAATATCAAACATATTAGGCCGATGGATGTGCCATCCCTGGGCTACTGGCATTTGAATATTTCAGTAGATTCATGAAAGAAGCTTTCTGAATTTTAGATGCTGGTTTTTAGACGTGATTCCCCTCTCCAACCTTTCTCATTTCCTTTTTATTCCACCGCTCCGCTTCCTCCGACAGATGTGACACTAATTGATTTCTTTATTTTGCTTTTGTTCTTTCAACTATTTCTCCCTCCTCCATCTCCCCTCCTACTTAGCTTCTCTCAGAGACATTTCTCTCTCTTTGTGCCAATTTCATTCTCTCTTATTTCTCTCTACGTCTTTGTACCGCTGTGTTTTCTACGATAAATGTGACAGCAATTGAGTTTCTTTCTTTCAGCCATTTCCCTCTCTCTCTGTATCTTACCTCACCTCTTTCTTTGTCTTTTCCTTCCACCCACTTGTTCCTCTCTCTGCCTGTGGTGAACGTGCTGATTTCCAGCCATGGAGGAGGTAGAGAGGGTGCAGATTGGATTGCAGGATGGCTAATAATTGCACTACACTGATTGCAATTTTACATTCAGTTTTCCGGAACAATCAGATTAGAAAGAACGTGTGTGTGTGTAGGTGTGTGTGTGTAAATGTGTATTACAGTGCCTCCGGGCGAATGTGTGTGAGCACCAGCCTGAGATAGTGCAGATGTCGGCAGAAAACTGCAGATCCGCAGCGACGATCTCATCTCTGTTATCGGTGTAAAAGGATTGTGCAGCAGCTGACTTTGCATAAACAATGAAGCAGAAAAAAAGAGACTTTTTTTCCCCCTCTCTGCTTCCCAAATCAAATTCAGACAGGAAGAAACTTCTTGTATTTAAATGAAGCATTGCACAGAGCAGACAGACTATTCCTCATCCTGTTAATGTGCGAGACACATGTGGTGATATGTGGCTGTTTGTATATCATAAATCTGCTCCACAGGTGCATGGGAGTGCACAAGGAGATAAATCCGTGTTGTGAATACATGAGCACATATGTCAGGAGCGATAAATCATTCATGCTAACGTGGTTTTAATGTAAGCAGATGCAGCTGAGGAGAACAGACACGGTTCAGACTCATAAGTTTGCGTCTGCAGACAAAACAAGAAAGATTTCAATCAAAATCTTTAAACCTCATTATGTGCATACCAGCCAGCGTTTAACTGCGTGTGTATTTGCCGCTAATGTTTTTCTTGGGCTGTGCTGTGGAGCAACAAATCTCAGCTTCATTTGAGCTGTTTTTAAAGCATTTAACTGAAAATGAGCAGCAAGTATTCCTTTAAAAGTTTTCTTTTGCTACTTATAAATTTAACTGTGAGAGGTAAACGGCAAATGTTTGACCTGTTCACAGTCCATAAACTGCACCGCTCAACCATTTAGATGCGCTGCAAACCTGCATACCTGGTGCATTTAGTAGCTTGTAAAAGACTCTGTATTTTCAGGGGCAGTTTTGCACAAGTGTGACAAACTTCATGGCAGTCACAGTAAAGGGTTCCTCTTTCGGAAAACAGACCTCGGCAAAAAAGCAAAAAAAAAAAAAAAGAAGAAGAAGAAATCAATAAAATAAATAAATAAATAAAAATAGATGTGTGTGATGGGACAATGTTTGTTAATATTAGAAATTAGAGATCTAGAAAATGGAGATAAAGTTGTATGAAGGCTGTGTCTGATTGAGAATTAGTGATCAGCCAAAGCAAGGATGGTGGATGGTGGTGCCAGCTCTGCTAGTGTTGGACACACACTGCAAAAATATTGAACATTTACCCCAAGACTCTGTGATGCTCTGTAGTGCTATCTGTGTTCAAGCAGATGTTTTCAGTTTTGACTGTTTTCTGAGTGTGTTTTCACCTTTAGACGAGTCAGTAAGTCAGAATTTAAACTTCTGTTTAATTGGTTTAGAAGTTTGTCACTCTTGAATATCCCTACTGAAGACCTTTTAATGCTAATATTGCTGTAACAAATGAATTTCTGTTTTATGACTTAATTTAGTCCATCCATAGTTCATCTTTTTGGTACTGTAGTAAGATGTGTGAGGACTGGTGGGCTGGTTGGATAAAAAAGTTATCTGGGAATCTGGAGATCATATTGCAGCTGTTGTAGCAGTACCACCAGTCTGCTACAGGGAGCAAAAATCTAAGAGTCACTTCATAAAAAGATGATCAAAAACGCAGAATAATCTCTGTATGAATTTACAATCACACTAAAAATCATGCCATCATAGAGATTTTGTGAATACAATAAAAGTTAAAACAAGAAACAGATCTGAAAAACATGGAGCAGAGTTTGGAGAACTTTTCAGTTTGTGTTTTCTCCCTAAAAGAACTCAATCAGTGTTGTTTTCAGCTTGTATGATTAATTGACTGTTCTTGTTTTTTCACCTGTTTGTGATTTCAGCAGACTGTAAAATGAGCAGTAATAACTGACCCTCACAAACATTATGGTACTTAAGCTCAGGCCAACTGAAGGCCAGTGGATTTTTAAGTGAAACAGTAATTCAACCCACCAAACATGGGAAAAAAAGTGAGTCTCTGTAAAGTGATTATGTATAATGTGAATTTGATGCTATTTGGAAATCTGAACACAGGAAATGATGTTTACAGTCAGAAACACAAAACATGAATACTGAGGTCCATGACTACTGTTGCAAAACGTTCATCACTTCCTCTTCTAGCCATCTTTGCAACAGCTCAGCAATTCTTTGCCCCTAGTGGTTTGTGACAGCTTCAACACTTGTTTGACAGCTTCAGCATCAGCGAGCTCACTTCTGTCAGAAAGGATGCTTCAGTTCATCACCTAAAAGGTCTCACCGTGCTGGGCAGAAGCTCTGGCAAATGCCACAGCATTAGTCCTGGAGCCTCCTGTTAGCTAGCCTGTCACATCGCCAGCTGGTCTCTAAAATTGATCAGTTGCTTAAATAAAGTTTTAAGGGTGATGTAAATTTGCACCTGCGCAGTGCAACAGTAACTACTAACTGCCGTAAAATGCATTGAAATACGAGGAGAAGTGCGTACGTTTCACATATATGCAGTACAAATCAGGTTTCCAGACCACTAATAGAGTAAAGACCAAGAGCCTTTTCTGTAGCTTCGTAACTGCGCCATATAGAATCTGAAAAAACAGAGCCAGGTTTATTGTTGGAGAAGCTCGGTCCCCGCTGAGCAACAAACGCTGCAGAGGCTCATCGTGAACCCTCGTCCTGTCCTGTCACAGTCCAGCTGAGGTTTCCTGAGAGGTTGCAGGTTTCGTGAGGACTCTGGCAGCACATGTGACCCTGAAGCAGACTCTTTAATAAATAAAATACCTTCAGTGTTTCAGATGTATACTGGCTGCAGAGTTTCTCTCCTTCTCTCTCAGTTTATGAGCAGAAAAAGGAAATTCTGCTGGAGTGAATCTGCCGAAAACATCTGGAAATCATCATCATGCCATCATAAGTCAAACAACTGCACACAGCGCTTACTGATGAGCTATTTCCATATAAACTCATTCCTGCTGGCTCCTTCCCTCTGTCGGCCCTATTTTTAACAGTGAAACACTATGAATTGTGGGTTATTCCCTGGAGCAAAGTGTGCAGGAGTGCAGACTTAAAGAAAGTGTTGGTAAGGAGCTGTGAGAGGAGCCCTCCTGTACTCTGTGTTTTACAGTGGGACACCGTTAAACCTTCTCAGAGCTGACAGCCTCCTGCTTCAAAGTCTGTGATTCCTGAGGGGACGCCAGGATCAGAGCAGAGTACGGCACAGTTTTTAGGCCACTTTTATGTTCTTGAAAACACACTGAGACACTGAGTGCATACTATACTGACAGCCGGCTCTCACTCCAAACTCATCCAACACAACAGCTTCTTCAGCAGCTCGATAAATCAGACACTCTGGGCCTGATTCATTGGAGGGTTGAGCCGATTTGGCACCTGCTGAAGCTTTGCAAATGAGACAAAAAGATACTGTCCACAGCGGGACTGTTTGTGCAGATTAAAATGAGCCATTAGCCAGAGGGGTGTCAATCAAGAGGGATGAGTCCATCAATCTCCACATTTTGAACCAATGAGGGGTGGAGGAGAGGAATGAGTGGAGAAACAGGAGAAGAAGAACAGAGGTGAAACAAAACAGATAAAGGAGAAAAGAAAAGCTATTTTTGGCCCGCTTTAAACTGAGTGCTCTGTGCCATATATGAACAAGCTGGATGTTTAAGTGTTCATCTGTTACCACGCTCTGTTTTGTATGTGTTTGAGACTGTATTCTGCCACAGAGCAGGTGTTATTTACGTAAGCAGCAGGTAGCCTTACTAGCATGGCAAAGAGACTAAGATCCTCTTCCAGTGGAGGGTGTGGGTTGCAGAGACCAGTGCCGAGGACATTATTTCTCAAGGAGGTGTGTGTGGATTTAGTGGTTGGATTTCTGCCCAGAAGGCATTGTTTTTATCCAACTTAAAGGAGTACAGTTGACCTTCTTGTCTTTTTTTGAGCACTAACGCTGGCACCAACAACAATGAAATCCAGGGTGTCATGTTGGCATTGTTAGATATTATCAAGAAGTTAAACTTCCTTTTCTTTTTAAAGGTTCATTCATAGATGAACAGGATGTTAATGTAGATATTTTACTGTGTATTATATTTGTTATGTTCATGGTGAAGAGGGGTTTGGGGTGTTTAATACATGCATGGAAGTTCCTTTAAACATAAACCCAAAGTTCCTTCCATGAGCTTTAAGAACCAAACAGCAATCAGACAATCCCTGAATCCTTTGACACTGTGCACCGACTTTTCATTTTAGATTAGTTAGATAAAGCCCAAAGTCACCTGATATGACTTTGACATAACTGCCATTTAACTAGGGCTATAATCAACCAAAGAAAGTCTTGGGTGCTCTGAAAAAAACCCCATTAGTCGACCAATCAGAACTTTGGTCAACTCAGCATGTATCGAGCAATAAGCCGACCAACTGGGACTTTACAGCCCTACATTTAAAAGATAACAAGCTGGGTGGTACCTCTGCTCCACGGAGTCAAGGACACAGCATCCCTGATTTCCGAAAAGAACATGTGATTTTGATTGGTCAGACTGCAGAAACGTTTTTTCCTCCCTTCTTAAGGGGATGCAGGTCCAGAGAAGTCTAAGGGTTACTGGATCATGTTTGTACCTAGTTTCCTCTTTAACCTGTATTTTTGAATGCAGTGATGAACTGTGTTCACAGTCTGTGGTTTTTGACTGAAGCACAAATACTGAAATCATTGCAAGTGAATTTCTCTCATTTTAGTTAACATATTTCATTACACTTGCAAAAAAATTATAAAAAGAAAAGGGGTTAGTCCAAAACCAAAGCTAAAGTACTCCATCATTTTTTGCAAAATTCGATTTTTTTTTTTTTTTTTTTCTTTTGTGGCACTGGCAAATATTTTTACTCATCACAATTAAATGACAGCCCTGTTATTGGCTTGGTATATTTTAAAATATAATTTGAGAAGATTTGAAGGTTTTGCTTGTAAATATTCTTCTTCTATTTTCAGACCATTGTATGAACAGAGGAGAGACTCCTGAGAAGACTTTTTAGATAACTAATATGTTCCTCTGGATCCTTAAAACAACTTTATAAACCTGTATGAGTTTCTTCTTTCCATCTCACTGAGTGTAAGTTTTCCAAAGGCCAGGGTCATGATGTTAGCTCCTCAGCACATACATGTATAATCACTTACACACACACAGATCATATGATCAGAGGGAGACAGCTCATAAAGATCAGCTTACAGAAACACAAACTGCAGATATGAGAGAGTCCGTGGATCTGGAGCGTAATAACACGTTAGAGTTCCAGTATGATGTGGATTAAAGCCAGACATCTCTCTCTCTCTTTGCTACACACATACACACACTCACACACACTGTAGCCAATGCATTTTCGCTTGAAGTGTTTGCGATGTGATCGTGCAGTATGCAGGCTTAGAGTATCGGAGAGAAGCCAAAGCCAACACTGCTGCTGGAAAGACTGGCCTCAGTCCAACACTCAGAGCACAGGACCGGGATTATCATCCATCATACTCTCATTTTATCACACTGATGTGATCATATGGTGTTCAAACAATGTTAAAGCTATATTTATGACATGAGAAAGGATTAATAATCTACACAGTGGATCCCATGCTCTTTAATGTATGTTTTTATCCTGCTTTCATGATGTTTTTATCCCCTTTTTGAAAAGTTTTCATTGACAGTAAAAGCACAGTGAGTTTGCGCAGTCTTCTTGTAGAAGCTCGTTTATCTTCGTGTGACCAGATTCCTGACCTTGACTTGCTGATGAAGACCAGCAGGCTGTGGATGAAGAAGTGCAGCACAACTTTTATGGTGAGATGTACTGCTGTGACTTGATGAAAGCAGAGTTTGGAAGATTTCTTTTATTGGAATCTGACGTTTCTACTGCAGCTATTTGACACTTGGTTAAAATAACATTTTCACTGACACATTATAAAACAAACTCTCTAAATATCTGGGGATGAAAATGACAAGAAACAGGACCAGACTGCACCCAGTGGCCTGATCATCTCTGTGTTTGCTCTGTTTTCTTCCCCTCTCTCTCTCTGGTGCTGGTTTTCCCCCTCCCTCCATCCCCAGACCAGTCGAGGTCATGGCTCTCCTCTTTCCCTAATCAGGAGAACTTTGGGAGCGCAGCAAACCCAGGAATGTGAGCTATGTGAGCAGGACAGCGTGCATCCATGCTGAATTTCTCCATGTGACTTTCGCATGGAGGTCAAGATGTTGTCTGCTCACTCTACAATCCTCTACACAAGCTCTGGTGTCCGTCCCACACACACACACACACACACACACACACACACACACACACACACACACACACACACACACACACACACACACACATATATTAACACGCTGACACACTGACATGCACAGACAGAGCATGTGAGTGGGGATGGAGAGTGTGGAGGAGGTCAGGGTCAGTTCAGCTGCAGGAAGTGCTGTAGGGAGCAGCCAGAGAGGAGCCCCGCAAACACGAGGAGGAAAAAACATCAGCTCTATTCACACTGTGCTCTGGAAATGTATCGGTGTATCTGGGTTAAGGCTGCATGTGCTGCAAAATACAGAATATTTCCCCCCGACTTTACCAGGACTTTATCCTGCCAGCCAGGGAGAGTTTTGCAAAGAGTAGGGCCTGAGCCAGTGTGTGAACACTGTGGGTAAAAATTTGGAAAGTCACTGTGAGTGAATGAGGCGTTTAACTTTAAACCATGCAATTATGAAACTGCAGGTTTTTATCTTTTTTTCAAACCTTAAACAGCTAAAAGTCCTGCATTTTAGTTTGGTAAAAAAAAAGACCAAAACATCTGATCAGTGCACTACAGGTAGAGGGCTATGCATGTGTTAGGTCTGAGATACGCGCAAAAACAAACTCCTTCGTGATGCAAAGTAAAGCAATGGAAGAGCGCTAAATAAAGCACACACATGCAGCATACGCTGTAATAATTTAAGCTCTGTATGTGTGTTCCCCCACTTACAGAGATCACCTTAATTAAACAGATTTCTGGTGTTTTGAATCTAACTTACTTTACTGTTATCACACTCAGCAGACCGCAAACACACTGGGTTACCATTAGCTTTAGCAGAGTTCATGTATTATTCACTGGATTCCTCTATATGTTTGAAATTATCACGCAACAAGTGCCACGTGGAGATAACCAACACAATAAAAAGAGACTGAGAGCGTGAAGTTCACAAAGACAGATTTTTAAAGACAGTAATCTGCTCTAATCTGTTAGTCATTTTGTTTTCAAGTGTGTTTGTGTGAGCAGGTATTTTGGCGTGTTGCTGTGTGCGGCTGCAGGGAGGCGGCGCTGATTAGCTCTGACTGTGTTTGGGTTCAGACCAGAGGAGCACAAACTGGAGCAGACCTCCAAAAATAGGACGAATTATTTACCTCTATAACATCCGGCATCCAGCTCTTTGTGTGTGTTTGTGCAGCCGTGCTCTGCCAGCATCTCACAACAAGTCATTCATGCTCATAATAACAACACACACTCACGCACAAACACACACACACTCTCTCTCTCTCACACACACACACACACACACACACACACACACACACACACACACACACACACACACACACACACACACACACACACACACACAGACACAGACATGCAGGGATGAGGAGAGGATCATTTTCTATGTGCTGAGGCCTCAGGGCTGAATGTTGCTCTCTTTGTGAATAAATCTTTCATTTTTCATGCAAAAGCATTAGAGATGGCATTAGTGCTGCTCTTACCTTCTTTTGTGTGTGCGTCAGTGTGTGTATGTGTGTGTGTGTGTGTGTGCAGCCATGTTGCGGAGCGTGTTCTGTGCACCTCTCTAATGCTCCCTCGTTCAGGCTTTTGCGGTCCACAGGCTGAATCCTGTGACCCCTACCGTCCTATCTTTCCCATCTCGGGCCCGCTCATGCACACTGCCGGCTGGGTGACCTCTGACCTCTGACGATACTTTGACCTCTGGCGGGCTGCCTGTGTTTGGTGGTGAAAAGGGCATCTGTCACACTCCCCTCAGCCGCCGTCTGTCTCTTTCTTTCACTGCAGCCCACACGGTCTAATGTTGCAGATTGACTCCCCAATGACCCCACCCTCTCCCTCACCCCCTCTGTCACTCTGCCCCAGTGCGTGCTGTGCAGTGGTGGGAAGTTAGCTGCAGGCTGGGACCTGGTGCTGCCATGTACTGTCCTGGAGTGTTTCAGCTTTTTTGTGAGATTAGACAAAAGAAGAAGAAAAAATGAAATGAATTGCACTCTTAAAAATCTGTGAGCAGGAACAGTTTCATTGAAATCTTTCGCAGCAATAATCGGGTTTTATTTCAAATAGTTGCCCTGTTGTTATTAGGAGCTGAACAAAGAGAGCCCCGCCCACACTCTGTGATTGACAGCAGAGTGTGGAGCAGAAAACCGCGAACAAATGACTGATTGAATTTATAGAAACAAATTTGTTCAACTAGTGTGTAAAAACATGTAGCTGTTCAAAGTTCATCAAAAAGCACACAAGACCAAACTTATGGTGTTCACTTAGGTGCATCAAGAGCACATTTATAAAACCTTTGACATACAATAATGAGGCTGAATTACAATCCTTACGGGTGATAATAAGCATCCATAATGGCTTATAGCAATGTTTATGAAGTGTTATGAGCAGTGAACATAACAGCATTATAATGTTCCTTAAAAACAAATAACAAAAGCATGTTTTTAATAGTTTTTTAACAAATCAAAACTCCCACAGCTTCATCCAGTTATAGAGACTCACAGACAAGTCAGTCAGTGTGTCATAAGTTATAATCTGTATGATTCTTGAATGAGACGAGGTCTTAGCTTTAATTCTTCTCATTTTTACTGTTTCCCTTCATTGATTTATTTCCTTTTGGTGTTAATCAAAATATAATTGTTGAATTTCAGATCAAATGAATGTGGTTTACAGCTGTTCACTTACAAACGCACTTACTCTGGACTAGTTCATTAGATAAATTTCTGTGCCAGAGGGTGTAGCTTACTTTTTAAAAAAACTTTTTTTTTAATGTTTGATGAATAGTTTTCAACTTAAACTTTGACAATATGGATTTTTTAGAGAGGCTCTATCTGAAAACACAAAAATTTTGATTATTGTGTTTAGTATGTGACAACAGCTGCCGCTCAGACTTTGTTTATAAACATGCTTATGATGCACTATAAGTGTAGAGACTTTTAGGTCACTTGAGGTCACCATATTGTAAATAAGTCTCCTGCGGAAATAAAATTTGATATTGCCTTGATAATTTCAGTTATAAAAGAAATGGGAACAAGCTGCATGAAAGTTAATATTTTCTATTCTTATTCTGATCATTTCGTACTGTTCTTTATAATAATGAATTGTATTTTTGCTTACTGTTCTACCGGGCATGCGCAGTGGACGTAGTAGTGGTAGAAATATGGCGGAACGCAGTAGACGCTCACACTCATTCATTCACTGACAGGAGCGCACATACCGTCGGTGAGTAGCGACTAAACTTCGTGATCCAGGACTCACTGGTGATGGGTTTAGCACGTGGGAGCGGCTCTAGATCCAGACGATCTTGTAAAGTTATTGGTTTGCGTTCTGAGACGTACATCTTTGTATTATTGTAGTTAGCGCTTGTGTTAGCAACATGCTATCCCGTCTCGGTCGCTCATGGCGTGAGGCACGTTCAGTGAGCCCGATTGCATTGTGGGTAACGTAGTCGCGTATTGTTGCGCTCTCACTGTGTTGCGTGTTTAATGCGAGCCTTGAGAACTACATATTTTTTGCACCGTGGTTTAGCGATGGTCCAGTCTAACAGACTTTATGTTATTGCTTCTTGTGTTTAGTAATAGAAACAGAGAAGCATTACACGCAATCAACTCAAATGTTTATTGTTGTGCATGATATTTTGAATTTACATTCTATGAATATGTTGTGATTTTGGTTTATTTCTGTGTTTCTTCCAGGTTTATAACCAGTGCAATGGCTGTGCAATGTTACATTAAATAACAGCAACTAGTCAAGCACGAGTTGTAACAGTGTGTTTCCTGTTAAGCCCTTTCCGAGGGCTAAGCTCAAAATGTCGGAACAATAAGAGGTGAGTTCATATCTAGTGTTGCCTTGGGAACAGAAGAAAGGGAAGTTTAAATTGTTATTCTTATTTACTGTGTTCTTTAAGAATTAGTCTTAATGAATCAATCATGACAGCTTAATGACAGACCTTTGACCTGCCGCTGCTTCTGATAGTGTAACCCATTATTAACAAGGATATCAAAGCGACAAAAATCATGTAGCCCCTCAACAATCTCTTAATACAACATGACAGATAGCTCTATAGTTCACCCACTTAAAGCACTGCTGTCATGGAAACACACAAAACAAACAACCATCATTCACACAAATATTGATCCACTCTGAACAGGATCCATTGTGCACATGATACACAATACAGCCATGTGATCCAGCAGCAAAATAAAAGATGAAGAAAGATTAATAGCTGTCTCACACTGATGTGAGGAGCACACAGGAAGTCAGTCATCGTTTGATCTTGTAATGACAACAAGTCTTTAGCTTCAGGTAATTGATAAAAGGATGTGGCTGTATCTTGTGTAAATGTAGACTTGTGGATGGAGAGGTAAACATCCTCCTCAGGTGTAGATCTTGCGCCTGGTTGGTCATCATTCAGAGGGTCACAGTCTGGTTGGCTGCTGGCAGGTCTAATTATACTTTCATAGACAAATATTATTACAAGTCATCGATACCCAAATTTAAGGATAAAATGATTCAGTGAGACTACAGAAAATAACTCTGGCTCTGTTTTTAGGTGTGTCAGAGGTCGCTGTTGTTGCTAAACTAACCATTGAGCTTTATTTAATGTTAGACTTTTGATTTACTTTCGGCATGTTCTGATCCAACTTCGTCTTATGGAAGTTTCTGAAAACAAAACCCTATTTACAGCCACCATTGGCCAAAATCCCTGCACAAATATTTTTGCAAGCCATAAAAAAAGCTGGTAGTAAAGCTCCTATTAGTGTTCTCCAAAAATACATATCCCAAAGATCTGTGATCCCCGGAGGGACAAGGAACACATTCCTCTTCCTGGGTTCCTCCCCACATCCCGGGCAAGAATAGAAACTGGGGAGTCAACCCGCAGAGCTCAGAGAGAGGCCCACAACAGAGAACACACACGCTCACATCAGGAGGAGGCATGAAACTGGACTCTTTCAGAGCACTTATACTGTTTGGTCAGAACCGCTTGCTATGTACTGCTGCTGAGTGTGTCTTTGTCTTTGGGTGTTTTGAAAGGCACCTATTTATTAAATGCATTATCATCATTATTAGGAAGAAAATTCAGACAGCGTTGTTTTCATTTTATATTCAGGTTAGGAATCCAGATGCCTCTCTTTGACTTTTATAAACTGGAAAAGCATAAAGAGCACTTTTTCACAGTGGATCCAGAAGACTTTTTTTTTTTCTTTGAGAGGGAATACAGCACTTTTTCACGTCATTCACAAGAGGGCATCCAGGGAGCACTTTTTTATATTTGTATTTTTGTCAGACATCAAGAGGGCACTTTTTAAAAATAATTTCTATTCACCAGCTAAAGTAAAGAACGTAAGATAGGTTCTTATCAATGCCCTGGGTTGCTTGCCTTTTTTTTTTTCCTTGGGCTGGTAAATATTAGTGCTGTATTATTATTGTGGTTATCATTCTTCTTTGGGCCTCAGCAGTTAAGATAATCTGCATAAAAAACCCTACAAAAAGCTGTTTTTAGCTGCATGTTTTTGTGTTGGTCTTTGCTAAAGCATGAAGATCTTATACCTCAGCATGTTTCACCTCTGTGAAGGATTAAAAACCTTCATGGGTTCATGGACAGCCAATCCTGTCCATAAAGAACATACTATTACAAAAGTCATGTGCCATGGAAGAAGTAAAACATTTTGTAACGTGGGTTTGTGTACATCCTCTTCTTTTCTTTTTCTTTTCTTTTCTTTTCTTTCTGATGACTCAAGATTTTTTTTCTGTACTCAGAAACAGCAGCAGCAGCAAAACCACAGAGTTAGTATGCGCCCTCTTTTTGGCTCACATCAAGTTTCATCAGGAGGATTGGGTAAAGGTGGATTGTTGTGAAACATGCATGCTAACATTTCCTTGAAAATGGAGACATTACAGAAGTCTTGATACCAACTGTGTGCGTTATGTGGCTGTTGAGACCACTTTAAAAACCCCATTGAAGCTCGAAAGCCCAGCTGTATGTGAAGATACTGAAGCTATTGTTGTAGAGCCTATAAGAGCAGCTTTTAAAACTGTTGATACCAAGTGTGGTGATAACTGACTTCCACACTAGCACCAATAAATTTTGCCTTGGATTTACATTTATTCTTCTAACCATATGTCCTGTGTATTACAGGTTAGATAATAACACATTGGCTACTGTGGTCAGACTGGAGGAAAAGGCAAAATAAACCGCAGGATGTTTTTGTGTTTACTCATGACAGTTTAGCACAACCTGTGAATATTAGTTCCTCTGGGTATTTTCTAAAACCACATGCTTTTCTGTCTTGTTGGACTCCTTACCTTCTGAGTTAACACCAGCTCCTTCTCCATTTGTTGTGTTTGGGTCTGAACTCTTCTCTGAATGTCCATCCTACTTTTGACACTTTAAATGGTAGGATGCTGTTGTGCCTCAGACTTTGGACCAGGAATGGACACGATTAATCAATAGTTGATTAAATGATTGTTAAGAATTACATCGATCACACAAAATTTCGATCAATGTAATGTTATCAAAAAAGGGCTGACAGCGTGCATCCATCCTCCAGCAGCTTTTCAGGGATGCCCTCTTTGTCCTGTCAATGTGTGTTGAAGCAATGCTGTGACTATCACCATGCGGAAGGATTTTGCCATTTTACAAGAGGAGTGAGCGGACATAGAAGAAGAAAAATCGATAGAAGTGGGAAAAAAAAAAGAACACGGAGAAAGCAAGACGAAGTGTGGTGTGGGACCATTTCTAGCGGAAACATGATGAGGTTTGCTGCAAACACAGTGAAGCTGTGGAGAGGTACAACATGACAACGACCCCAATTATGTACCACTTGAACCACATACATCTGACTGAGGTTAATGAATCCTCCAAGTGCTCTCAGTCTCAACCTACCGTCAGCTCCTTGCTAGCAAGGAGTAACAATAGGGTGACCAGACATCCCCAATTTCGAGGGACAGTCCTCGTTTTGGATGGATGGCCTGTACCCGCCTAAAGTTGTCCCCAGAAATGTCTCAGATTTTAGCGTTTCATGAATGAGAAAAAAAATGTTGCCTGTAGAATTGAACAACAGTTATTATGGTGGCCAGGCAGGTAGGAAGCACAAGTGAGCAATTAGTGTCAATATATTAGGTAAATATTTCAATGAGGCAAAAACACGTTTTTGTGTATTTTCTGCCATTCACATTAAAAAAAAGGATAAAATGGATGATTGATCATTAATTTTTTATGATTAATCGATCGGATTATAAGAAAGGGCCTTTCTTAAAATGCCCATTCACACTTTGGACTGAGTTTCTTGGGTTTCTGTTCATCTGTGGAGCAGTTGCTTTTTCTCTCTCATAGCAGTGATGTACCACACTATATTTTACTTCTGTCAACTAAACACACCCAGGTTTATTTACACATCGTGGGCACACTGCAGGAAAGTGAAGATTGCATCAGTTGGAAAGCAGTAATGATGCTCGTGTTGCACACTCTCATTTTCTGTGTTTATCCAAGTTTGTTAAAGACACCCTGAAAACAGAACAGTGCCGCCCTGAGATGGACACGGCTGTGTCAATGTCCTCTCCTCCTCCACAAACTGTGTCTGGATAAAGCTTCCTGCTGCTTTCAGCTACTGGAAGCTGACCAGGTCTCAGTTTGATGACCTTTGTGAAAACATTAGTGAACCCAAGAGACTCATTTCTTGAGTTTGGAAAGTGAAATGTTACCCCATTCTTGCCTGTTTTTTTTTTTGGTTGTGATGAAAGTGGAAGTGAACAAAGAAATCTTCATGTGTCTTTACTTGTAAATTAAAAGAGACTGACTGCATGATTCACATTTCCTGGACCCTTCCAAACATACAGTACATCCATTGTGTATATGAGCATTGCTGCAGACCATACACAGTTTGCTCACTATGCAGTGGAAACGACGTTGATCTTGGCAGTGGGAGACAATAAAACAAACAGATTTTTCCAGTTTTGGCAGCAGATGGTTTGCATTTAAATCTAAACATTGTGCAGAATGCTTTTCCTTCTGCAGAGGGGGAGGGAGCAACACTTCAGAATGAAGTCTTGAAGCCAAAGTAAAATCTCAGCAGCTGGCCAAGTAATTGTCCAGACCCAGGCGCTCATCAAGAACCAAATCAGCCCCCTGCAGATGTATTAAGTTTAAATATGACCGATTTCCTATTCAAAAACATATTTTCTTCCTCAGCCCCAGACAGAGAAGGATCAGCAGGCGTAAGATGAGCTGTCTTAAGGGATCCACAGTCAACACATGCAGGATTTTCTTTCCCTGCTCTCCATATCGACGAGTGCCAGTGGGAGTCGGAGCTGTGTTTCTGTGCCTGAAGACACTCTGCCACTGAGAGTCTCAAGCTGCAGTCCCCAAACTCGGAGTGCTGGCTGTGGCTCTGCTCAATGCCATGTTCCTTACATCACTCAAAACCAATATTTGACTAGTTGCAGTCCCCAAACTCACACCCACAACGGTGGCTTTTTGAAAACAGAGAAAGAGGCTGAAGTCTGAGAGCCGTTCCCACTACAGCCCTCCTCCTTTCTCCTTTCTTCCTCCATACTTCTTTTATTTTTGGGCAAGTTTTCATGTCTGCCGACGCCGATCCCCTGGGCTCAGAGCGGTTTTCTGCTGAATGTGGCATAAAAAGCATGAACCTTATAAACCTCCCTCGCTCTGCCTTTTTTTCTCGGAGTGTTTAATGTGAGGTCTGGTTCCAAGTCTGTGGCTGGAAACGCTCCTTGGGATGAAAAAAAACGAGGGATTGAAAGAAAGGAAGGAAGTGTGCAAAGGAGAGGTGGGGAGATGAGAGAGGGAAACACAGAGAAAATAAAAGAGTGAGAGAAATGTGAGACTAATGAAAACATGGCTGCTCTCCCAGATAGATTCCTGACAAATGCCCTGAGCCTGTCCAGTTTTTTCAGTGAGTTTTCTGTTTGAGTGTGAAGACTGGGATAAATAAGCAAACATGCCCCCCTCAGTCTGTCAGTTTCTACCCCTTTTAAAGAGGCGAAAAAGAAAACAATGCGAAGCTCGTTGCTGTCACATTTCTCTCTATGCAAAGAAGCCTTCGTTGTTGAACAAAGAGGTAACAGGATAATGCTAAATGCTTAAATAAGAGAATAAGGCGATCAGCGAAGTGGATGTCCCACCCTGACAGAGACCGCCAGTTCTTATGTTTAGACCTTAGGACAACGCTGTATTGTTTTTGGGAACCAGAGGTGTCAGACAGGACGATTGACTGTGGTTTGTCATGGACAGGTGTCGTGCTTTGCCATAAGAAAGAGCAGGTAAGAAGGAGAGAGAGTGGGAAATGATGTGCAGGAAAGGACCCATTGAATGAAATCAAACCTGGGCTATCAGCTGGTGAAAGGGGACCTAGTCTGCTCAGCTATCAGGACCCTATTTTTGAGGAGATGCACATCAAGGTAGATGGTTCAACTTCTGAAGAGGTGTGAGGCTAGGGAGTCCTAAGGCATCGGTCCAAACAACAATAAACCAGGCTTTAGATTTCCTCATGGTGCAACCAAACAATGACACAACTCAAGCTGCAAACCAACAAGTTTCACTGATGGTTTGATGTGGACTTCATGCCCTAACTGAATTCTCTACTAAACAGATCTGCTGCAGAAAGACCTCCTGTGTGTGGCAATCCATGAACTGATCCTGGGTCAGTTCATTTCATCCAAATTATCTCTGAAAAGAAAACATTCAAGCAGTACTCATGGTGAAAAAAGTGGACTCCCAAATCCAGGCCATCCTGATCCAGATTAAACTTTTTGATCAGCCATGGTCATCTTAGGTCCAGCCTTCTACTTTTTCATGGTCCTTTTTTACTGCAAGTAGTCAGCACTGATCTAGTATCAGTCTATGACAGATGTCTCTGTATGACCTTAAAAATCAGAGCAGAGCATGAAGCAGAGGATCATTTTACGTAAATATTCTTATTCCAGTCTCCAGCTCTGATCCTGTTTAAAGGGTCTGATGAGCGGAGCAGAGGAGTCTGTGTTTACATTTTCCCAGACAGAGTTTGGCAGTCTGGTGTGTTGGCCTGTAAGAAGAAGCAGAGAGGGGATTTTTCTCTGGATATTACCACAGCAACACATACAAGACAAGATCAGTGACAAAAGGGACAAAAAGAAGAGAAAGCCAGGAAAAACACACAGGAACAAGATTTATTCTGTCACCTTTACAAACCTGGCAGGTCTGTGATGTGTCTGATGAGATACTCTGTGAGGTGAGGTCAGTCACTCTTTGTACTGTGAGATCTCAAATTCCTGTTAATGACCAAAGGAAGGATGCCTTTGTTGCCCCTTTTGCTGTTCCATTACTCTGATCCAGCAGAATATCTTTGCTGTGCTACGAAGGACAAACATCTGTCTTTGTTAAGCCTTCTTTATACCTCTATGTGAATACAGGCCATAGCTTTGCAGCGGCCTTATACGGCGCAGAAGGTAGCCTGACATGCTCTTCCTTTAAAATATAACTCGAAGTTGAAACAAGATAGACCAAAAGTCCAGTGATTGGTCCACCAAGTCCTGTCCTTCAATCACACTCCATATGTTCACATTAGGGCTGCACAATTAATCGATTTTAAATCGTTATCAGATTATTTGATTATGTTGATGTTAGAAAAATTTAAATCTTCGAATCGATTTTCCCCTCTATCATGTCTTGTGCCTCCAGGCCACCGTAGGCTCCCCCTTCCTGCGGGAGTGCTCCTTTATTCCCACACACACAAGTGTAAACAAACATAGCGTTTACAAAAGAAGGCGATATTTTTGTGGCTGAATAGGGCAAGAGCAAGTCAGTCGTGTGGAATTGGTACGGCTTCGCAGTTTCGGATGAAGAGCAAACTCCTCCCCACTGCAAAGTTGACTGAAATTGTCATTGAATGAAAAGTCGAAAATCGAGTATTCAGAGAAAAGAATCAGGATTTTATTTTTGGTCAAAATCGTACAGCCCTAGTTCACATGCACAGTTAAGCTGAGTTGCGGCCATAGCTTAATTGGAGATTTAACTGGACTACTGTCCTCAGCCCTGTTTACAACACTAGGCAAGACTCAAATTTTTGACAGACGCGTGCCGGCCTCCGTTACAATAGGTCACTGTTAAAGCTCTGTACTTTTTGTTTGTAGGATCCTTCTGTCTCTAAAGTTTTTGTCTACCACTTAGCTTCCAAGTAGTGCATTCACACTATTCAACACACTATTCCAGCTCAAAGCCTAGTGTGCGAACGTTGGAGCATGCACGGAATTCTTAGGCCAGAAAGATCAACTGCTGCTCCAACATCAAGACTGTATTCAGTCGCTATGGTTTCTTTTATGCAAACAAGCTTGCATAAAACAGGAACAGGAGAAAGATGAGCATAGAAATGACACTGTAAACATTCAAGCGGAGTATTGCAGAACAATACAGACACACTCACTGTGCTGTAAACTGTTACACCGTAGATGCTGTGCAGTCAAAACAAAAATATGAAATGGGATTTACCTGTGGAGTTTCTATCACAGATATAGACAGTAGAATAAAACACAGTACCGAAAGGTTTTATGTGTCACCACACCAGAAAATAAAGCAGTGTAACAAGAAAACAATGAAAAAAACGACAGGTGAGGGTTGCCGTAACAGGCTGCTGAAGTGCATCTGCTGTTTTTCAGTCTCTTCTGGTCATCCTGTGGTTAACAAATCATCCCAAAGTCAGGGATGTTGTTGTCAAAGCTCCACAAATTCTCCCTCTGTCTCAGAGTTCATCTGACAGAAACAACCCCATCGCTCTGCTTTGCTTTTGACATTTTGTTTGTTTACGCTGATGACTTTTGCACGCACAGAGCTCTCTCATTTGTCAACACAACCGACATGAGAAAACTGTAGAGGACAAAAGGAAATTCAAACATGCACATCCATTCCATGTTTGATTGTGATTGTCATTCACAAAGACACACGACTCAATTTTTGGATCCTGAAACCTTACATGTAATAAATCAGGCAGTGATCGTGCTCCAAACACCTCCATAAGATCTTTAAAAATCAAACCATTTCTGAACACTGGTTTGCTTCTGCTAAAATAATTTGTACTTAAATTTAATGAAATTTCTATGACACCTAGCATGCCACTCTTGTCCATAGTGGGTGCTAAAATCAACATGAAATGAACATTTTATACAGTTTTGTTTTGTGGGGGGGGGGGGGTTTGTGAAAAAACCTGGAACATGCCATTGTGTAGTAACTCTACAGAAATGAAAAAAGACTGAAACATCTGAAAGAGCTCCTGAGTTTTTATGTGCCTGACTTTAAACTTTCTTTTCTATAAAGAAAGCAGCTTGGCCTTGCCTTTTCAGACAGCAGCTGGAGCGTGTGTGTTAGAAAAAGAGAGCGAGGGGGAGATGCAGCGTCTAAACATTGTTCAAAAATCGTTTCTGTCTCCCAAAAGCTCCTTTTCTTTCTCTGAAACTGTTAAGGACACAGTTTGTTCATGTTTACTAGAAAAAGTCAATTTCTTTTCACTTTTTTGTAAAGTGGGGGAGACTTTTGCTGTTTTGAGGGGGAAAGGGGGAGGGTGGTCGAGCAAGAGAGAGGAGGGGAGAGAGTATAAAGGATCTCATTGTTTTGAATTTCCTCAAAGGGAGAGGGGACAGAGGTGGGGGAGGGATGGAGGAGATATTATGTTTCAAGAGATGTGGAGTGGTCCATTTTGGTTATGGGACACCAAGACCGGGGGAGGAGGGGGGAGAGAGAGTAAAGAGAGCCAATGAAACTAAAGAGAGAGAGAGGGACTGTGGTTTCCATCCTTCAGTTTCCAGAGAAAATATTTCCAATCAAAACCTATGACTTTCCTTCCTAGCCTTCTCTCTCTCTCTGTCTTACACGCACACACACACACACACACACACACACACACACACACACACACACACACACACACACACACACACGTAGAGCCCAGCAGGCTGAGGAATTCTGCTGCTTCATCAGGCTTAAATCATCCTCCATCTCCCTTTGTGTCTCTGCGCTCAGCTCAGCCGTCCTGTGAGAAAAACTCTGATTGCAGACACTCCGCTTCTGCACAAACACAACACAGCACAAAAGAAAGAAAGTGCAGTAAAGAGTTTTGATTTATAGCTGCACTCTGGACCATGCACACATGGAAACTTGTGCATGGGAAGGTTCATAGTCAGAGGGAGTTTGTGATGCCGATGCCAGAGGAGGAAAATCAAACCAAATGTCTTCACGGCTGTGTGTGATTTCACCTCAGAGCTGCAGAGTGAGTTTAAGAAAGTTAATGGTGCAGAGTATGGAGTGTAAATAAGGTGACTGACACTTAATGAGGAGGGGTTTATCTACACATCTCTTAAACTCTGTCTTTATTTGAGTTTGGTCAAAATCTCTGCTCTCCAGGAGATGGGCAATTTTGAAAACAAAGGCTTCACTGTCAGCTCTGGTGTTTTTTCATTACACATTTACATTATGCTGCTCTCTGCCCATTGTTATATTGTGATAAGTGTGCTATAAACATGTGGTCTAAGAGTCACTAACACTTTTAACAGAGCAACTACTTAGAGACAAGACTAGGCTGCCCGAATCGTCATGCTGCATATTCAGACATGGTGCAAATTCACAAACACACCTGCAGGAATCCAAA